ATAACATAGTCTCACACAGTATCACGCAGTTTGCTGAAACAGTCATGAAAAGTGGCTGGAGAGCCTTTCTTAGGCCCATGCACATTAATCAGAGTCACTACTTTCTCACTGTGTTTTCCAACCAGAATCCAAAGCCAACCATTAGGATCAATAACGGCTTGTTGAACTGAAGACAGGAGTCCACTGTGAATTGACATCACTGCCTCCTTAAACCCAAATAACATTTATCCCATTCTGCTGTGATCAGGCAACAAGGCCCCAAATGAGGTTGTAGAAGAGTAAGCATGTGTGGTTGAGATCAGATTCAATTCTCACTGGCTGGTGTCAACAGATGAGAAAGCAAATTAACCTGAAACCATCCTCCTCCTTTTTCAATCATGTTGAAAGCCTTACTTACAAACAGAGAAGCGTGAGGTTAAGGTCGTTGGAAAAGTGAGTGTTGTTCCCCATGCTTATCCTTATCCTGTTTCTCTCATATAGAGGAATGTCTGCGCACCACACTTGGGGCCGCTGTTGTAATGACAAGTTTCTCTCTACCAAGTCTCAGGAATGGTGGCTGTCTTTTCCCTTCATTGCACCAGATGATAAAAACAAGGACTGGGAGTGAGATCATTGCAGATCACTTGCTCCATGTGGGCAGGTATTTTTTAAATTCCAGTCCAGCTGACACTGTCAGTGCAAATGGGTTTGAGCCTTTCCTAAAACTGTGCCAAGTCCATTTGTCCTAAAAAGAAACATCAGGGGATGGGAAGAAGTCCTTGTTTGGCCTAAGGCACCCCACCCCTGCCCATCTAAAGGGTTTGCAGTGTAAGACAACCCCTTAACATGAAAGATAGGCAAAATACTGGAGATGGAGAGAGTACCAGCATCACTATTGGGTGGGGAAATTACATGTCATATTTAACTTAAATGGAGCATTCACTTCCTGTCTTGCATATTTGAATTCTGTGTCCTTCAAATGCAGACTGAAGGAAATGTGTATTTTTAAAATGTACACAGCAGTGGTTAAAACAATTTCCTGCCTATACTAATGTTTGTTACTGTAAAAAAAAAAAAAAGTGGGAGGGCACAGAGCAAGAGAGCGTGCAAGCCATTTTTGTGTTGTGGTTAGAGTGCACAATTGAGACAAGAGATCCAGGTTCTAGTTCCCCCTAGCCATGAAGTTCATTGGGTCACTAACTCTTAGTTCAACCTGCCTTACAGGTTGTTGTGAGGATAATATGAGGGGAGGACCATGTGAGCTGTTGTGGGTTCCTTGCAGGAGGAAAAGGGGTAGGATATAGATGTAGCACTTGTAATAAGAAAAATACAATTTGGGGGAGAATGCTTTAGCATAGGAGAGTGTAACAATTGAATTAAGGCAGGTGGGACAATCTTCTACCAGATATGTTGCCCAAATTGAAGAATCGGTAGCTTTCTGGAGCAGGAGGAGTCTTAAATGCCTAGTATGACACCATCACTTTGTTTGCAAAGGAGGGAGAAAGAAAACTTAGAACCGCTTGTGTCCCCACCACACACTAACTCATGGCAAGGGCTTGTCTTGTTGTTTGAACCCAGTAGGATGGCTTGTTAACCACTCTGCCTGCATTTAGACAACACAACCAGCCTCCCCTCCCTTAGCAGGTTGTATGAGCCCAGGCACTGGGTGGGTTTGCAAAGCACCACAAGCTACTTGGAGTGGCTTGTCAGCCCCAGGGCCCACGTGTGTCATTGCACTTGGTTGGGCATGCCATGGCTCTGGTGCTGCCTCCCCGCTCAGGCTTCCCACAGATACTCCATGAGAAGGCTGAGTTCGCCACACCGCCACTGCTGTGCAGCAGCACCCAGGAGGGGGGAAAGGGAAAATGCCCATTGCTTCAGGCCACCACTGCACCAGCTGAAAGAGCTTCCCTTGCAGGCCTGAAATAGCCAGTGGGAAGATCAGGAATGATCCGAGAAGAGGGGGGCTGCTCAGAAGCAACTCTTCTCTGCTGGGTCTGGGCTGCATTCTGCTGGGCTTGTCCAAAGGGGACACAGCAGCACATGGCTCCTCTCCCTGCTGTGGCCTCTGTGCCACGTGGAGGGGAGAGGTCCACCAGAGTGCATCCCTGTTGCTTGGAGTGGCAGCCATGGAGAGCCCACAACTCTGAGCGAGCAGGGAGGGAATGAGCTGGACTCTGAGCAATCTCGTCTAGAGAAACTGTCTACTTGCTTTGGGCCTCTGGTGGGCTTGTTCTTTCGTCTGGGTTTGAACAGCAAGGAAAGCCTGATGGTTGCTGCAAAACCTTAGTACAAGTTATAGTCTGTTGTGGATTCCAAGCCCACCAGCTGACCTTATAAGCCACCCCACAAGAAGAGCACTGGTTTCTCATGACATTCAAAGCCACAGTGGTTTGGAAGGCAGGGCAGCTTGCATGTTGCTGTCTTAGAACTGGTGGCACGATCACAAGGCATCAAAGGACTGAGCAGGCAGGGAATGAAGGGCCAGGTTTGCATGATCACGGCCAAATAAAACAACAACAAGGAAACGAAACGAAAAGAAAGCCACAGTGGTTTCTTTTCCTGACTTAAGTGCACAGTACACAGATTTCTGTGTCATCCAAGTACAGTAGAGTACCTTCAAACTCACCCCAGAATCCATGCTCAGGAAGCTCACGCAGGGGCAGGAAAAGACGCCACTGTGGGTTCTTTTCACTGTAGTTGTGCAAAGCCAGCTAATGTCTTTAATTGTTGGTTGCATGCATTAGCAGGAAGGAAACATTCATTCCAATACTAAGTCGGTTACATCTGTCAAGGATGGCTATTTCTTTGGGCAAAAATTTGATGCTCTGGTTCATCTAATTCAGTCTTGACTTCAAAAAGAAAAGAAATGGTTACATATGAAGGTCTGGCTTTATTAAGCATTTTGCATTGGGCACTTGTGATCCAAATACTGCGATGGGCATGCTTGGGTTCTTTCTGGGAAGTTTTTATGGAATTGTGAAGATGGGGAGAGAACTGAGATGAAAACAAATGGATAAAACAGCAAAGCACCTGAAGATATCTCAACGGTATCTATTTGTCCATTTTGAAAACTGGAAGAATGTTTACAATAAAGACCAAAAACTGAAAATATTAATATAGTTGTGAATAAAAACTATTTTAATAGAAAAAGTGTCTGCCCCCATCTAGTCCACTTTATCTTGGTAATATTAAAACAGTAGAAAAACCTGTTCAGCAATTGACTATGGGATGCCAAGGTTGTATGTCACAACTATTTTTATTCAAGCGGCATTTTAACTGTTTTAACTGTTAAGATTATTGGTTTTATCTGGCCAGGGCGGCTTATTTTATACTGTACTGCTGTATTTTAATTTTATATTTATATTTTAATTTACATTATAATTATTTTAATTTAAATATGTGAGCCGCCCCGAGGCTTCGGCGAATGGGGCGGCATAAAAATGTTTTAATAAATAAATAAATAAAAACTAATAATTTGATTTAAAAAAATATTAATACTAACCTAACCACAGTATTAAGTAGAAAATCTGAATGCTGACTTTATTTTTTCTTATCTTTAAATTTTCCTGTCATGTGAACAAAACTAGCTGCATGAAATCTATAATATTCTGTTTATATCAGGCATCCTTATTACCTTGTATTTCAGTTTTTCTCTGATCAAAATCAGTTTCAGAAAGATGGAGACATACTGTTTTTCCATGTTTATCTCATTTTTCAATCTGGTGTGACATTTCCAATCACAAGTTTATTTATAATTGGGCGATTGGGTATAGGCAAGAAGATTTGAGAGTTGTATATAAGATTTGTTAGCTACAGTTCCTGTTAGTCTATGTATTAAACAGCATTTTACAAAATTTGGAGCAGCTAAAACAGTAATTTAAAACATCGCCTTACAAAGCATTCAGTCATCATTGTTTGATTCTCCCCCCACCACCACCACTTTTATTTCTTTGTTTTATTTAAAGTTCTTCTATACCATTCATTAGTAGTCACTCTCAGAACAGTGTCATTTTGGCTAAACATCCCATTTCATATTAGAAAAATGGAAGAAATCCTTTCAATTTTTTATTTGAAAAACCTGACATCTTCTCATTAAAAAAAAAAGTGTCTCAGTTTGACTCCAATGAAAGTGGACCCAAACAGATTGCAATTCAGTTAGGATGGTGTGATGCCTTAACCTTCTCCCTGCCCAGACTAAAGACTATTGCTTTATTTGGCTTGGTATTTTGCACACTGATCGGTGTAGTTTTGAGGTTTCAAACCTCAGACTGTGCCATCCCTACCTAGAGGTGCCTGGGACTGAACCTGTGTCCTTTTGCATGCAATATGTGTGCTTTACCACTGCTCCATAATCTAGAAGACAGATACTTAAAACACCTGTTCTTGTTCTGATGACACATTTAACCTCATAAGACCTGTCATGCTGGGTCAGGCCATGATGCTGTCTTGCTCAAAGATCTAACCATGTACAGCCACATGCTTTCTAATGCGCTAAGGCAATCCAGCACCCTGTTACCAGCATCCATAAGCAAAGGAACGCAGACTCAAGCTTTGAAAGCTGCATTAGGCTTATTGTGACTAATTGATAGATCAGTTCCATAAGTGTATCAGATCATTCTTTTGACAAATCATCTACAATAATAGCCATCAGCACATATTGAGGTACCCTCTTGCACGCATTATTAGATCTTTTCCCTTAGGAAGCATCAACATGCATTCCTTTACAACCACAAAAGATACTGCCTGATACTGATAACAGCATTTAGCTGCCGACTCAGTCAGCAGTCTGTTAATAGCGAAGAAAAAGTATTTGCAAATTAATTATTCAGTATAAGTTGTCCCTTGCTAATAAAGTGCTGTTTTTCAGTAGCCAAAACTGCATTTTCATCAGAAATTCTTGCTAATATGTTCAGTGGGAAAACTGATGAAGTACTACAACTTTTTAAATTGTAACAGTTAATAGTATGTACTGGGTAGGCATGTACTCAGCTAGCATCTCTTTGTGTTCCTGTTTATAGCTTTTGGTCCATGGCCTTTGAAGACCTGGCCAGCCAGTTACCAAATTTCTACAATCGGCAAAACTCTAGTAATGCTGCTTCTCTGGACTTTGAGCCTAATGCCAACTATAAGTTTGTGGAAACCTTAGAAGAAAGGTACAAATGTACCTATTGCCATCTTGTTCTTCATAATCCTCACCAGACAGGATGTGGACATAGGTTTTGCCAGCACTGCATTGTTTCCTTAAGGTAAGGACGGCCTCGTCATTCCGTAATTGTGCTTGCTCAAGTTAGTATCCTCCTCCTTTCATGTGCACATCTTTCTTCCCCTAAACACTATATAAGGTAGTATCTAATGTTAGTCTTACTTAGTCAGAGTAGAGGAATTGAAATAAATGGTGCTTGCATTAGTCATGACTAACTTGTGCCATTCAGTTCAAATAGTCTGTTCTAAGGAGAACTAACATGAGATATTTCCCATAATTTGTGAAATTATGCTAAATCGAAAAGGGTAGTGGTTCCATTTTGCTCTGACTTCTCTGATGACCCTGTTCAGTTCTCAAAGACCTGCAGTGCATCCCCATGGAGGGCTTCTACTGCTGCTAAGAGGACTATAGCTCCATGGTTCAGCACGTTCTTGGCATGCTTCAAGTCCAAAGTTTGATCTCCAGCATCTCCAGGTGGTTTTAGGAAAGAGCCCTGTTGAAAGAACTGGTGAGCCGCTATCAAGGCCTGCAGTTCTGGACTAAGGAGCCAATGGCCTGAGTTAGCCTGTAAGACAGTGCCTGTGTTTCAGAAGCCGCATGCAGAATTACAATCTTTTGTTGCTTAACAGATTTTCTACAGTAAGAAAAGAGACCAAAGAAGTGGTGGCAAAACATGGAAGGCTTGTAAATGGAAGACAATGTTGTTTAGACCCCACCTCTGTAAAATTCCCCAAATGAAACCGAGTGATGGCATGAGAAAAGTCTCATGAGGAGGCACACCCAGTGGCTGGCTGGCTCTCTTTCTCTGGCTGGTTTCTGCAAAAAGCTTAGGATGCAGGAGTCATTTTTTTCTGAGTAAGATTGGTTTTGCATTGAAAAGGGCATCAAGATTCACTCATAGTGCACACACAGTAGAAATTATAGAAATGACAGCTTGAATATTGTTCTTTGCGAAGGGCAATTTAAGGCATGGGGATTTTAAAGGTTTTTAGAAGAGACAAAAAAACTTTATATTCCCTTCCCATTACTGGAATGGGTGGTATATTCTTGGCACTGAACAGCTTTTCTTTTAAAAACTATTTCTGGAGTACTCCAAAACAGTGGCAAGGCAAAGATGAAAGAAAAAGTAGTTTAATAAATACTGGTGCTAAATATAGGCAATACAGGACAAGTTTAATGATGCTCCTTTTCTTTGATCAGTTTAAGTAAACAGAACTGTGTTTCCTAAACACTTTAAGAGTTTCATGAAAAAACAGGCCTTTGCATTCCTAGCACACCAACTTAAGTGAATCCAACAAGAGATCTCATGTTACTTTCACAAAGAAATGAAGCCGTTCAAGATCACAGTGCAGAATAAACTCATAGTAGAAAACAGACCTGTGAAACTGACTAAAGGCCTGGGCATCAACATTCTTCATCCTTTTCTGATTCATAAAAACAAAGGCACACTCCATGCAGTGGAATCTACTTAAAGCACATGTATGTTGAAACACAGCCTAATCTGTTCACAAGGATTCCACACAATGATATTCCTGAAGTTCAAAAAAGTGCTACAATAAATGAAAGAGGCATTGGCCTGCTTCAGTAACAGATTTAAAACAGAAGTCTGCCTGCATAGTAACAATTAAAGCAGAGTTGATTGTTAGGGATGATGGAAATCTATAATACTTTGAAGCTTCCCTCAAAAATTCTGCTGGTGTTTTTTATTTGCGTCAGTGGCATCAAGAATTGGCTGCCTTTTTAACTAAAGTCTTTGGCAGACCTCTATTTACTGCTCCATCAAAAGACTTTGAAGTTCTTGAGTCCAGTTCCTCCAACTTCATAATCACCATCCTGAGAGACTCCCATCTGAAAAATTTCCTTCAGGCACCTGCTTTCCATGGTTGTTTCACTGGTGCTTTTACTTTTTGTTCAAAAGATTCAAGAAAAGATGGTCTGATAAACAGCATTATTTCATTTTTTCCTCTTCATTATCCCTTCATTTTCCTCATCTTCTGCATTTATTCCATTGTCCTATAGAACAGATGTTATTACTCCACAAGCAGCTCTGATTGTATCAGGCTGTTATCCCATGGCTTGCACCATGTTCTGAGAATCACTATTCTTCTGAATTTTCATCATCAGCTGTGAATACATCTTGAACTGTTGAGCTTCCTGAATCTGCAGTTTAACATCTGTTGAGTCATTAACCAAGTTTTGTATGATAAAAATGCCTTTGGCATTTCTTTACAGGTAGACACTTCACAAGATACTGTTACACAAAAATCTGTGACTGCCAGACAATTGTATCCAATTTCTTGGATCACTCCAGGTGCCATTCAAAAGGGAGTCCCTTTCGTAGTGTTTTGTTTTTTCACAATATCTGTAAATTGTCCTGCTACCCCAGAATCTGCAAAATAGAATACCTGTCTGTATTGAGTAAAAAGTTTTTATCTTTGATATCTCACTGTATTTTCCTCATGAAATTCAAGCATACTATTCCTTTGAAAGTTGATTGCATTAGTGTAACAATTTCATCTCCCACCAATGTTTTCTTTTCAGTCTGACTATATCAGACACAGATTCAGAACTGCAATATTTCATGACCATCTTCTTAAAATTGTCATAGTATTTGACTACAGACAGTGCTGTAGAATGGATCCCGCTTCAGTAAGTCAGACTTGGCACAGACTTGCTCAGTTGCAACACCTTGTCTCTTTCTGTGTGGACAGTTTTGAGTATGCTGCCTCTGGACCCTTCTCCAAGTTCTTCATACACATCAAATACTGCTTGGGGCTGTTTTCACCCTTCATCTAACCTCCTTAGCTGTTGCCACATGTGGCATGGTTGCACCATCTCAAAGTTGCAGGAGGAGAAAGGGCAGCCAGCAGGCTGAAGGAGCTGATGGCTATCTGTGCTTTATCTCCCTTGTTCTCCTTTTTAGTACCAGTTCTGAGTCCTTGAGACACTTTCATCATCAGAAGAAAGAAGAACACATTTCTGCATTCATACTTCTTTTTGTTTCTTAAAATAGCTTAGGTGGTATATTTTCACGGAACAGCAACTTTTCAAATTCAGATTTATTGTCTCCAGAAACTTGATTCTTTTACATTCCAACTGGCATGGAAGACCTGACCCATACAAATAGGCATGGTAAATTATTGTATTTCCCCATAACAAAGATGCACTCTCCAGCACATAACAATGATAATGTTGATATTAAGGTCATGAAAATGTCACATGTGGCTTGAAGTGACATTCCGGAGAAGAGGTACAGAAGAATTAAAAGCAAAACATAAGCCTATCTTGTGAAAGCACCATTTTGATTCATCCAAGTTTCACTTTAGATGTATATTGGTTTCCTTCTCTGAAATACCCGCCCAGAGCCGTCTGGTTGTATCTTCAGAGAGAAAGTGGCAGCCTGCCATTCCAACATACCATTAAGACTTGCCTCCAGTATATATTTACCTGGGAGTAACTGGTGTGCTTTCAGTGTCATCTTGATTGACTGTTGACCTTAGTAATTTCCCCTCTTTTACAAGTTCTTAGCAGTTACCTGAACTTTATGAACAAGTACATTTCTTAATAGGTTGCCAGACTTTGCTAGTTTCCTTTAATTTTTTAGCTGTCTCCGTTTTGCAACATGGCAGCTGGATTTCTATTTAAAGCGATGCTGCAAGTTTAAAAAGCAAAATCTGGAGGAGTTTAAAATGGTTGAAGTAGGCAGGATGTGGGGTGAAAATGGCAAAATTCTAATACAACATGCAAGGGGTTTTTTGTTTGTCTTTAAACCTTCTGTCAAAATAAAACTAGAATTAAAATTACATTGGCCTAAATGGGCAATTAATGTAAACTATCTATCTATCTATCTATCTATCTATCTATTAAAAGCTTTTATATGCCATCCTATTATATAAAAATCTCAGGACGGCTTACAATGCTTTAAATGTGACCTGTGTTTCTTAATTTTTTTTAGAGAACTGAATGCAGTGCCAACCTGCCCTATAGACAAAGAAATAATTAAACTTCAGGAGGTAGGAAATGTGTTCTCTCTTTTTAATAGTAAATCTTCAGTTAAAATGTTATTTTTGCAATATTATTAATTATTAATATGTAGATAAAGAATTGATTTATGCTGAGGGTACCCAAAAACATTTCAGACCAAAATTTAAATAATTCCTTATGGCAATTCAGAAACAAGCTCTTGAAAACAGTTCTCACAAGGCTGATGAACACTTGCAGGTAGAGCTGTGCGAAAGGGACGGGAAAGGCAGAGGGTTGGGGTGGCCCCCAGACCGTCCACTTCCCACAGTGTGGCCTGCACTAAGCGGACCACCACCCACTGTCCATCCACTCAGTCAAAGCCAGGGGATACCTAGACCTTTCTCAGTAGCCTTGGGACCCAGAGATAAAGGGAGAAGGGGACATCCTCTGCCATTGCTCCAAGCCAGAACTTCAAACTGGAGGAAGGCCAAAGCAGAAGAGCCTGAACTGCGGCCTGACTTACAAACGAAATAAATGCAAGCTTGAAATAGGAGGCTTTCTTTACAAGAAGAAGGGAAAACAAACATAAACAGGTAATTAAAAGTTAAAAAAGGATAGAAACCCAGAAACACATCATTTGGGCACACCTTAAACTGAGGCCATGGTGTCCCAACAATAGAGAAATCCTCATGCTGCAGGGGACAATAAAATCCTGTCTTAGAGCCTTCCTCTGTGGAGGAAAAAAAATAAAAGATGTAGAAAGTGTTCTGCTAGTCCCCCCCTTGTGAAATGGAGCTTCTTGCTAGCAGCAAAAATCTCAACCAAAAATTAATCTCTTGACCAGCTATAATGAAACACTGAGCATGGAAGGCATCACCCAAGGATTCTTTTGCTGCCTTCTTGTCTTTCCTCTTTGACTTCTTCTTAGTCTTTCCTTTACAACTTCAGGATGGGTTCAGTACCATTATGTACTCAACAATACATATTATACTGATAGCCTGGAATAAGTTTTTAAAGATTGCAATGAACTTTTGTTCTTTTGTTTGTGTGAACTTTGAAATGAGGTTTTATACCTATTTAATTTAGGTGTTCAAAGACATTTGCTGTAAAAGGGAAGTTCTCAATTTGCAAGTATTTTGCAAAAATTCACCAGCCTGTGATGCAGTAACATCTCTGGGACGATACCAGGTTTGTATCCCTGTATTCTAATGCTAGCTGAGCCGTGAATGCTCTATCTCTTGGGAACTACACAGTCACTGAAAGTTGCATCACCAAACACATTGCGTAGTTCCCTAGAGTTATTCACACCTTTTCACCTAAAGATATTCATATAGGGTTTATGGAAGCCTGTGCATTTGTAAATGTGGGTTGTTTGTAACCCAGATGTTCATAACCCAGGGACTGTCTGCATAAAGTTTTGGCCACAAGTCTAGATATTTTTTCCATCTCATAAAAAGTATATGCAATGAAATATTCAAGAATAAAATTTGGGTAAAACTTTCACTTTTAACATGGATGTTCTCCCAAATCAGAAAACCACAAGTTGTGACTTTCCAGCTGCTTTTGTAAATCTTTCATTAGTTGTTTATTAAGGCTAATTCAGTGCAAGATTCTCTGTGGTTTGAGTAATCTAGGTGGTTAAACATCTGACTGAAGAATCTCTCCGGAGAGTTAAAAAAACTTCTTAATTGCTCATTGAAGATTAGAACCGATCTGTTCTGGTGGCTAATTTTTTCTATAACCCAACAAGAAGTTGTACAAGATCTAACAGTCAAAATTGAGAAGCATTCTTACTGCTTCAGAAACTAATTGTCGTAGCTACACTTTTTGTTCTTTATCTGTTTTTGTACCATCCTGGCTTTCTTCAGTTCTCTGTACTCTATTCTGAATTTCTGTTAGCAAGAAATTTTTTACTTCCACATGACAACATTCTCTATCTGTGGAGAGAGTAATCTGTAAATCTGTTTCTTTGCGTTGAGGAACCCTTGTTGAAGTTACTAAATGCTCCAACATTGAATGCCTTGGAGAAACTTCCAGGAATCATGAGGGCAAGATGCATGCTATCCACCAAACCTTTTCCCTTTCTGTACATGTAGATGGATTGAAGTGAATGCTGAGAATACAGTGCTACAGCTGGAACAGTTGTCCATAAGTCCACAAGAGTCTCTGTATTAAGAACAGGTTACTCAAAGAGCAATTTTTTAAAAATCTAATCATGAAGAATGCATTTATATTTGAATGGAGACATCTGGTATTTAACCAACGGGGTAGGCTAATTTTTTTCTGAAGAGCTTAAATCCTCTTCTAAAGTAGTAGAAGATGACAGAGACTTAGGAACAAGCATGGAAAGCATAAAATCACATGTATCTGTGACAGTGTGATAAGACAAAGCAGAGGCTAAGTTCTCCTCGATGGGGAGGAATTGATGTGGCCATTCCCACAGACACTTCATTGACACAGGGAATTGCCCGTTGACTGTGAAAGGGTGGGGATGAGGTATGGAAATCAAAGCCCTCAGAAGAGATGCATATGGTTGACAGGACAAGGCTTCCTTTGGCTTGTCAGGAGTTGTTAGACTTGAATGCCCATCAGTTTTAGTCAGCGTGCCCAGAAGTCAGGGAAGATGGGAAGGTAGCCCAGCAAAAACCGGAGAGCAGAATTCAGCTACCTGTGTAGTGGATGATGGGGTATGCAGAGGCCTCTCACCTCTCCTGAAGGTGCGCAGCAGGTATCCCCAAATAAGCATATTGTGCGTGTCTTCTGCAATGATATTAAAATGTGGATGATCATATGTGAAAAATTACTCTGCTTCCCAGGATCATCTACAACAATGTTCATTTGAAAAAGTGCTGTGCAGTAATGAAGGATGCTGTCAAAAAATTATGCAGAAGGATTTGAAAGAACACCTGAGTTCATGGTGTAACTATCGAAAGGAACTGTGCCAGTACTGTAATCAGCCTGTGAGTTCAATTAATTTAAAGGTAAGATTGTAATAAAAGCATTGTAATTAAGTATAACATTTTGTTTCTTCCTTGTGAAGACTTCTTTTGTCTCACAGGCCAGGTGTAGGAGGTTCACAGGTAGCATTGGGCCCACAGACTAGACTCACAATTCCTGACTTAAAGACAAAAGGGTGTAAAATGAAGCAGATTATCCAGATTATCAGAGCCTACATTATTTTTACTAAGACTGAATTTATTTTCCAAAAACTATCCTTGCATGGTCAGAATGGCAGCACACACCAACAAGGAGATGGTATCAGCAGCCTCAGGAAAATCTAAGCCTTACAGAAAAGTACAAACTCCTTATAGGAAAGACATCCTACTAGTGCAGCATAAAATCCCAGTAAGGACTGGGAATGCTCAGTGGCTCTGGAATGCTAAGATGGTTGGAAAAGGAGGGAAAAACAGAAAACTGGGGTGAGAAGTGGAAAAAGCATTGTGGCTGCCTGCTTGGACCACAGAGGAGCTCCTGTTTGTCTGCCTGTTTTTAAGGATCCAGGTTCACCTGAGCATACATATTGCTATATAAAGAAAAGACCATCTGCTGGGTGGCAATACAAAACTTGGGTGGCAAAGGAAAAAGCATGGCTGTGCAACCAGCTGTCCACACATTCACTTCACTGGGATTTCTGTGGAAGATCCCTGGCGAATTGTGCCTACAACTTGTTTGTGGTTTTAAACAAACAGTACCAAGTCTTCTGTGCTTCTATTGCATAATAGCTCTTTCCATGCATTTTCAGGTCCACGAGAAAATAGATTGTCCCAATTATCCCTTGACTTGCCCCCAGGGCTGCATGCAGATAATCTTGAAGAAAGAGGTAGAATATTACTTTTTAATTTTTTTATTGTTTTCTTAAAAGAAAGTACAGAAAGAAAGAAAAAAATTAAAAGAAGAACGCCATGGGATCTTGCACAAATATAACATAACCTGCAATTTCCCAAAGAAGACAAATATTTCTGTCAGTACTTGCAAAGAAGATAATTCTAGTTTTCTAAACCAACAAATTTTCTAATCACTTTGAGTCAATTATAAATCATCAATATTTTTACGAGTTTCCTTTTGTTCTATATCAATTAAATTGCATGTAATAGAATTTCCATTTTTCATTAAATTATTTAATCTTCTGTTTGCATAATTAACTTCACTGTAACTGCATACTCGGCCAACTTACTTTTCCAATCCTCAGTTGTTGGACATTCTGCTGTTTTCCATTTAGAAGCAATTGTAATTCTCACTGCAGTTGATATTTAACTCTGACATGTTCTTTGAAAAAGTATCTGGCATTATATTCAAAAGTATGTTCTTAGGACTCAGGAAAGTTAATTTTAAAGGCTTTTTGTTTTTCCGCATGTATCAACTTCCAAAACCTTTTAACTTTATCAGAAGTCCACCACATATGGTAGAAGGTCCCATCAGGGAAAGGTACTGCAAAAGACCTGATGGAATTTGAAAAGCTGATTATGGAATAAAAGGATCATTTGCTAGGAAAATTTTACAAGCAATTACTCCAGTTTGACACTGAAACTCAGCAAGTTAAGGAATGCATAATTTGGACACAGAACCTTGAAAATATCATCCCGCTAATAGGAAGCTTTATGGAAAAAAGACATTGAATTTACAGCTAGTCAAACATGAAGAGAAAAGTGGTATAGGATGTTATTCAGTAGTACATTACCCCAAGAGATATAGAAAAAGTGGACAAGAATTATAGTGGAAAATGTTGGAAATGCAAAGAAGTAGATGAAACTTTTAGCTCATATATTACATGGCATTTATTTATTTATTTATTTATTAAAACATTTTTATGCCGCCCCATTCGCCGAAGCCTCGGGGCGGCTTACAACATAGATAAAACAAGTTAAAATCCATATAAAATAATCTTAATTAAAACACACATTATAAAATAAGCCGCCCTGGCCAGATAAAATTCAATTGTATTTAGCATTTAAAATGTTGCTTAAATAAAAAGGTCTTAGCCTGGCGCCGAAAAACAAATAACGACGGCGCCAGGCGGACCTCTCTGGGGAGCGCATTCCATAACTTAGGCGCCACCGCTGAGAAAGCCCTTCTCCGAGTAGCCACCCTCCTAATTTCTCTCACGGAGGGCTCCCGGAGAAGGGCCTCTCCCGCCGATCTCAGGGGGCGACTGGGCAAATATGGATGTAAGCGCTCCTTCAGGTAACCAGGACCCAAGCCGTTTAGGGCTTTATAGGTCATTACCAACACCTTGAATTGGGCCCGGACTTCAATGGGGAGCCAGTGAAGCTGACGGAGAACTGGCGTCATGTGAACATAACGTCCAGTCCCCGTCAGCAGCCTGGCAGCTCTATTCTGAACCAATTGAAGTATCCGGACCGTCTTCAAGGGTAGCCCCACGTAGAGCGCGTTACAGAAGTCAAGACGGGAAGTCACCAGCGCATGAGTCACTGTTGCAAGGCAGTCGTACTCCAGGTAGGGGCGCAGCTGATGAATCAGCCGAAGCTGGAGGAAAGCGCTCCTCGCCGCTGTTGTCACCTGAGCTTCAAGTGAAAGCTCCGGGTCGAGGAGCACTCCCAAGCTGCGGACCTTGTCCCTAGGAGGGAGTGCAACCCCATTCAGGACAAGGTTCAGGTCACCTTCTCCGAAGCCCGAACCGCCAACCAACAGGACCTCCGTCTTGTCTGGATTGAGCTTCAGTTTATTGGCCCTCATCCAGCCCATTACCTCGGCCAGGCACCGGTTCAGTACAGCCACTGCCTCACCTGGATTGGTGGAAAACGAGAGGTAGAGCTGGGTATCATCAGCATACTGATGGGTCCGCAGCCCACACCTCCTGATGACCTCTCCCAGCGGTTTCATGTAGATATTGAACAGTAAAGGGGACAAAATGGCATTGAGAAAAGAGCAACATATTAACCTGCATCCGGCAGTACAAGCCTCTGGTCTTCCCAGTAATAACGACAGCTTGCCGTCTTTTCACAGAAAGTTCATTAATGGATCCTTAGAATGACAAATGTTAATGTCATAGATTTGACCGGTCTTCTCAAACCGGAGACCTTCAAATATGGAACCCTTCAAATATGTTGTATTATGGACTGGGAATGATCTGAGATGTCATGCAAGATACCTGAAGGGCACCATTCTGGGGAAGGCTAGAATAGACTTTCTTCTTGTCATCCCAGTTTCATGTTGGTCATTTTTTAACATTTTGTAGAATTTTACAGTCATCCTTCTTTCCCCCCGCCCACCACCTTCCAGTGCTTCATCAATGTGCAACTTACGACTTGCTGATATGTTTACAGGTAGAAGAGCATGGGTCAGTATGTCCTGAGATGGAAATTGATTGTCCTTATAAACAGCATGGCTGTCCTACAAAGGTACTGTACTATGAGACAAACATCCCTTGTGTTCTATTAGAAACTGCTCAAAAACACAAAAAGGCTAACAAGTGTCTTGTCTCCTGTCTCACGCACTCTCTATCTCTCTTTGGCTGCCCCTGTCATTTGGGACTGGTTTAATAATCTGAGTAAATCACTGAGGTTTTTCCCCTATTACAGCTAGATTTTATAATACGTTAAGGGAATTTTTTTATTAAAACGTGGTTTATAAGTCATTTGTCTTGGTTTGTTCTTTATTTTCTTGTTTTAGATTAAAAGAGGAAAGCTTTCAGAACATGAGAATATCTACTTAAGAGACCATATGCTACAAATCTTAGACAAGAACTCAAAGCTGGAAGATCAGGTGTAGTGCATCATTCATGTGGTTCCTCCAAAGCCTTTTAAACTTTTGGCAGGAGACAAGCAACTCTTCTTAAAGTTCAAGGTGGCTTGAAAGTGGCTAGATGTGCCATCGCATGGTCGCAGCATGGATGTGGGAGTCAGCTTGTTCCTTCCAGTGTTCCCTGGGAAACGCATGGGAGGAATGAGGGGAGAGGAAGCGGGGAGGAAGCAGACAGCTCACAGCAAGCCCAGTTGTCTATCGGGACCACATGGGTTGTTTTGCACAACCAACCCACTGTGGCATATTGCCAGGGTGGACTAGTGTGGCATATAAACATGCCCACTCATTTTAGTTCTCATACAATGCAAAGATTGCAGTGAGGGGCAGCTGGTTACTCAAGAGGTGAGTATTACCATTTTATGAGAGCACTTCCTTCTGATCTCCTATTGTACTCAGGTTCATATTTAACCACATCCTGGAAAACAATTGCTTGTGCATGTTGGTTGGTTACTGCAGCATGCACCAGCCGCTTTTTTGAAAAGAAAAGTATCTTCCAGGATGTGGGTAGAAACTAATCAGGTGAGGTTGCATGCAGGAAACGCCACTAGACCTCTGGAAATTTTTTAAAAAGGGAATCTTGCACAGTGATTGAAAGCAGACCCCCGCACAGCTTGTAATTCCCCCATGCAGCCAGTATTTTATGTTGTTGGCAAAAACAGAAAGTTTATTAAGCTCTTGGTTTGCTGCCAGAGCAGTTTACAAGGCTTAATGGAAGTTTAATCAAAAGACTCATCCCATCTAGTATGAAAGGGGCCTCCTGTGAGTTAGGTGCTTAAAGTTACAAAAAGAAAAGGTTCTTTCATTCAGTCTCCCTCCCTCCCTCCCCCCCCCTCTCTGGTAGCCCAGTTTTCTCATGTATTTATGCCAGCTTGAGTTCACACCTTTAATCTTCTATTTTGTAGATCTCAGACCTTTATAAGAACCTAGAACATAAAGAAATAAAAATCCAGAAGCTAACAGACATGGTTAAAAGGTGTGAAAAAGAATTCAGGGAGTTTACACAGCTGCGTGATAAAAATAGCAACTTGCTGGCAAGCACACAGGTAAGACAATTCTCTTAATATCTTTACTGCCTCCTAATACACACACACAGTGTGTCTGCAATAAAATACTTGCTGTCTAAAATCAAGTATTGTGTGCATCATAATAGTTTCTGTTAATGTGTAAAGTTTCTGGGTGTAATTTAGACTGGAATTTATTCATTTGTCTTTCTACATTTCCATGCTGAAAGCACAAAACAGAATTTACATTTTTAGAAATTTTATCATTACCCATTTTTTTCTGTGCTCCCAAATCTTACATGAAAGGTGATGTGTTTTTTTACTGTGGTCATATGCACAGGGTCATGCCCAGACAAGTGAGATGTACCTTGGAGATACAAGACGGGATTTCATGTACTAGATAAGAATCTTTATTTATATAAACTCTGTCACTGTACATGGCATTTCAAATTTCCATAAACCAAATAAAGCTAGTGCCTTTTTTGGAGGAGTCCACAGCCTATTTTTTCCATTGAGAAAAATGACTGTGGGAAGGAAGATGGCAATAGGATCAACCATTTGCCCAGAAAGAATTGTCCCAAGGCATAGTACTATTGCATAGATCCAAACTGGCAACAGAGTTGGAGCCACAAAATTTTCATCTGCATCCAATTGCAGAAATAGTGTAGGGAAGGAAAGACATATCCTGAGGCAGATGGAAAAGAGCACATGTACAAATGAAGCATCCACTCAGGGAATTAGTGAGTGGGTCTGAATCAATGCGGACAAAACCTTCCGGCTTATCCACATGACCATTTTTCACAAGCTGCTGTTAACATGCATTTATCTATTTTCTGTTCTACCAAATGGGCAAAGCTCTATCTATTAGGTTTTTCATTACTTTCTGGAAATAACTTGGGATATTGCCATACAGACTGCTCTAACCTATAAAAATTGAGAAAGGAAAATTAGCTTTAATTAACTTTGTACTGTCTATTTTGTTGCAAGTGGCAGGCAACTCGTGTTGAAATGTGGCTTGCATTCCCACATGACTGAAGTGAGATACATGCAACTTTGCTTGGGTAGTATTCATACTCTTGCATGAAAAAGATTGCTGCTTAACATTCAGGAATCATAGATCCACAAGCTAGCAACAGAGTTCAGAGAACAATACACCTTTGTGGCTGTCAGTGAGCCTTACAATGCTGAATAATGCAATATTGTCTCTGCAGTAAAACTAAAATAGAATTTCACTTACCATTTTATCCAGTCACAGAATTCCTGTGTTGAAGTTGTTTATAGATATTGAATAATAAACACAGGAATGAATTCAGATCATGAAGACAGCTGATTAACCAAATACTAATTAAAAAGAAAGGACTCAGAAGAGAAATGCACTCTTCATATAGTCAGTGATTGAAGCTGTAAAAATAACTCCAGCTTCTGTCTGTGGGTTTTCTTTAAAATTGTGGTATATGTTTTCTCCTTTTCTCTTTTCTCTCCATGCCCCATTGACCATCTAACTGGAAGACTCTAAAAATTCACATTGATAAATCTGCCTGCCTGGAAACCCAAGTGAGACAGCTGGTACAAATGGCAAATCAGCAGAATAAATTTGACCTGAGATCACTGCTGGAGACCCTTGATAACATAAAGCAAAAAGTTGCACTCTTGGAGTCAAATGACCAGCGTTTAGGTATTTCTGGGATTGCTTTGTTTCTAAAGTTTTTGGATGTTGCAGGGTTGATGGACTGCTGCCAGTCACAACCAGTAGGAAGCATCATGACGAAATCAGTTTTCAGTCACTTTTCTATGCTATTTAACATAAGTGTCTGACTCTAGTAGCAAAAGTATAATCTGTTTAAAAGAACTAATAATCCACTAATTCACCAAAAGGCACTTAACTTGCATGCAGTGGTAGCAGTAACCACATTCTGCGTTCTCATTTTTTGTTTGCTTCCCATCTGCATCCCCCCACACTTTCCCTTGGTCATTCAGAACTGTCTGCTTTTCCTTCCAGGTTAGGAAACAGTGAGGTTCAGCAAACCATGAGGGTTATGGCGCACGGCTGCCTTGCCTTCCCCATATACTTTCCCTCGGGTTAAAGAGAATGGTAGTGCTTGGATCATTGCATGCCTAGCTTTAATTTTGGTTGCACATGGGTAAGACTGTGCTCTGAAGCTTCAGGTGATTTGAAAGTCTTTTGTAGGCAACAGTGTAGAATTTAAAATCATTGTTTTGATTTTATATTTTGTAATCTGTCTTGAGACGTTTGTGAAAAGACGGAATAAAAAATGTATTAAATTAAATTAAAAGCTCATGTCATGTTAAAATGGACATACCACGAAGTCCTCACTTCAGCATTGCAGAGAAAGACCGGGGTCAAAGAATGGGAATGTCCTTAACCCTACACATGATCAGTGTCAAAAGATTCTGAAAATCCAGTCTTAACTATTAGATACTGATATGTGAATAGTTACTGCTAGACCATATAAACTTCATTTCCACAAGTATTTATACATTCTTCTTCCACCCATCCACCTCTCCTTGTCTCCCACAAATCCTCTTAACATTATGTATCTTTCTTCTTCAGTTGTTTTGGAACATTTGTCAAAGCAACATGACTGCCACCTTAACAAACACAGTGCACAACTTAAAAGAAATGAAGAGCGGTTTAAACTTTTGGAAGGGACAAGTTACAATGGTAAACTGATTTGGAAAATTGTGGACTACAAAATGAAGAAGAAAGAGGCAGTGGAAGGCCACAGTCTCTCCATATTCAGCCAACCTTTTTACACCAGCCGTTGTGGATACAGATTATCTGCTAGAGCATATTTAAATGGAGATGGTTCAGGAAAGGGGACACATGTTTCCTTGTACTTTGTAGTGATGAAAGGGGAGTTTGATTCCTTGTTACCATGGCCTTTCAAGCAAAAGGTTACACTTATGCTTCTGGATCAAAGTGGGAAGAAAAACCATATATGTGAAACCTTCAAGGCTGATCCCAACAGCAGCAGCTTCAAAAGGCCGGAAGGAGAGATGAACCTTGCCTCTGGCTGTCCTCGGTTTGTTGCACACACCACACTGGAAAATGTAAAGAATACCTTCATTAAAGATGACACACTCTTCCTAAAAATAGTGGTGGATTTAAGTGACCTTGAAGAATTATGAGAGAACATGGAAGAGAACTATTAAAGGTGATGTCTTGGTAACCACTAGATTCTTTCAGACAATGGGTGAAAGCTACTCTTCAGTCTCCAGGCAGATTTTTATATACTCTAACAGCCTGACTACTATTTTTGTACTTTTTCAAAGTTGCATTAAGAAACTAGCCAAGTCTCTATGAGTTTTGATTAGGAAAACTTGGTATTAGAATTTTTCTACTTGTTTGAAACTTCTTAACTGGGTCACCTTCTCAGGAGTGATAGAGGATGTTCTAGAATCAAAAGGAACATTACTAAAGGTGCTAACTGCTAAGGAATATTCTATATATTTCAGTAGGTTTACAAAAACAAAACAAAAATATGCTAAAGTTACCTTCCTCAATAGTCACACTGTGAGACAATTCCCATTTTCCCACTGCCACAGTAGCCAGATCCTATGCATATTTAGACAAATTTAGTATTGCAAAATTCAGCTGTTTACTCAATTACTGGTTGACTGAATTTACTGTATTCAGGACTTAGTTCCAAGTAAAGTGTGTACCGAATTAATAATTTGTAAAATATCCTTGTGAACATGAAGGTATTGTGGAGTGGACCACATTCATAAAAATGATCTCAACAAAAGTATAAGCATAGATTGTGAACCTAGTTTATTGAAAGTTTTGCAGATTGCAGGCTTGTGGCACTCTGGTGTGCGTACATGGGTGCATGTGCACAATTTCATAATCTGATGGTTTCATAATTTCTGTAAAGGCAAGTATAGGGTGGAGCTGAATAAAACAAATCCAATCTGAAATCTTAATAGAGTGAATAATGACTTTTAAGTAGCATATGTTCTTTGATTTTACTGGTGCAAGACATAAGCAGATCTAGACTCTTGTTAAACAAGTATAAGTGTTTCTGGCTTAGTCCTGTGTAAAAAGCAGATCAGAAGTACTTGATTAGTTGAATGGGCCTGGGCTCCATAACAACTGCCTATTGTTGATATTATTGACAATCAAATGAGGCATTTTTTTTTATAAAGAATGTAAAATGTTTGCTTCTGGTATCCCATCTTCTGAAGCTTTGAAGCCCACTGTGGGACCAAATTTTCATCACTCCCCTTTATTAATCTGCATGCTCCATATATCAAATTGTATGAAAGCAATAAAAATCATCCTAAATTTTTAATAACAAGACTTGATATCATAACACAGAAAAGCACTTTACAAAGGTTATTATTTCTACATAAATATAGTTGAGTGTATTGGTGCCCTAGAAAAGGGAGTTTAACAGTTCTATTCACATAGAAGTTAATACATTGTAACTGAAAAACATACATTTTTCAGGCTTATTTCAGTGAGTCTTTTATATTAAGTGTAAGACTAAGAAATGAGAACACTCAAAAGGGATGCGGAAATGTTTATAATGTGTGTTGTCAGGTTTTCCCTCTGCCTCCCTGTTGCCACTTGATATCACTTGGCTCACTAGGCCTATGTGAACATTTATTACGCTGATGTAGAGGAGCTTTCAGGGAAGTTTGAAAGGATGAACCTTTAATAAATATTGTAATGGTTTTTTGACGTTGGCTGTGTAGTGTATTATAGCAACTCCAAAAGCATGCACACTTAAGCACTGATTTCTTTCATCTTTAAAACTTATGTTGAAATTACAAAAATAATGCTAGATGCTTTTCATGGCTTTGAGGTCTTAGACCAAAGACTCTGCTAAGCATTTTGAGAGCCTGGCGGATGAGTGAATGTATGTTCCATACTCCTAATAGAACAATCCTATGGCTCCCAGACAGAATTCAGGGAGCTATAGGATGGGAGAGACTACTTTTTCCATGGCTGTAAACCAAACTACAACGAAGGAGGAGATCTGATTGCGGATCTTTGCCCACTGTGCTCCTGGCCCCTTGCAGAAACTGTCATGGCAGCTCCTCTTTGAAATTCAGAACTGGAAAATAAACTGGATTGGCTGAGAGGCCTAACTAGCTTTCCCCCCATCTCTCTTCCTGTAGAGGAAACATAGAAATTGAGTGAGTTAGAAGGGACCTCCCAAGCCATCTAGTCTGATCACCGGCTCCAGCTAGCTCCGCTCATGACATGCCTACTATGTGCATGTCTATCCTATCCTTGAACAACCTCACCAATGGGGCTTCAGCCACTTCCCGTGGAAGCCCATTACATACCATTGAGATCCTAACTGTCAGGAAGTACTTTCTGGCATCCAAATTGAACCTTGGTTAAAGGATAAAGGACTTAAAGGTTGTCAAAGCTTCCACCCTTTCCCCACCCATCTCTTGCCATCAGTGCTTTGGACGGAGGGCTTTGAGGTCAAAGGCCTGATATCAAGCATCAGCCCCTTAGGATTGTCTTCTAGATTTTTCCTCACATCTTATTCCTGTTTCCTTATTGCTGTAGGACTTGTTACCACAATAGCCAAACTAGAATGGACAAACACTGAAGCAGGAGGTGTTATTACATATTCCTGGAGATTGCCATGTTCTAAAATAATGTTCACCCTAAGAGTTCAAGTGCCAAATTTTATTTTAGAGAAACTATACAGGGACAGGTGAAACAGGTGGGGCCAAAAATACAGTTTAAAGCTACATTAGCTTTAAAGCTCTTGTTTTCTGTAACTACACCTTTGGTCAGGCATATCAGCCTTTAAAATGGGACAAAATTGCACAAGCTAAGAAACTGTGAATAATCCATGGTTAGAAGAAAGGGGTAGGGGCCAGGGGGGCATAGTTGTCTGGAAGAACTCCAGAGAGCCAGGTTTGCCCCCAAGAGTAGGTGGTTTGGACCTCAGACCTGAACTTCTGCATGCCTGCACTAAAGTTGGGTTTCTAGATAGAGATGTGGCAAATGTATCAAGCAATATCCGATCCATTACTAGTGCTAAAGTAAATTATGTTGTCCTAGTGTAGGCTACTGCTAGTGTTTGCTTATGCAAAAGATTCCTCTAAAAACCCTTCACATCAGGGATGCTGTTAAAGCACTAAAGATACCATGCACTAGCACAATGTAATTTACTTTATTGCTCATTCCTAACAGAATACTTTATTACTTTTATATGAATGTCTTGTATATGAAGTTTTTGGGAAATGACTTATTTATTAAAACTGTCTTCATGTTTATAATGCTGAAATTTGTGATTTTTAGGTCAATGATTTTCTAATTCTTTTACTATTGGAATTTGTAGTCCCTTTTTATTCTGTTTAGTAAGATGAAAATTGCTATAGACATTCCATTTAAAAATTAACACCTGTGCTCTGTAAAGTTTACATTTGCACCAATTTGTGATATGCCTTTGATGTATTTATTGCTATATTTATTGCTTTTCTCTATCTACTTCTGTGTTTTATTAAGTATTAAAGCAATATTCCTCAGATAACTCTCAAAACACAAATATTTTAAATTGCTGACTGTAAAAATGCTGTGCTAAGATACTACTCTCCTTAGTGCCTTTTTTCTATAGATACAGCAGAATGGTAAAAACAAGAGGGAAAATAACATTGTGTGCACCATTCTCATTTTCTAAAGTGTTTAGAAAGGGACCTATTTTTATTATTGGAAAGTTAATTGGCACAGAAAATGTTATCTGCCAATGAAGTAAATTCCATCTAGTTTGGGCTCAGGTGCAGACCTTTTCCCAGAGCTGACTAAGGGGTGGGGGTGGGGGGAGAACATTTCAGCTACTTGTCTGCATGCATTCTTGTTTTTCTGAAAAAGCCCCTCTATAAATAGAAGCAAAGCCATCCAAAATAACTGCAAACTGATCAAACTGTTATTCACCAAAAGTTGCAAGGAAGTTTAAGGGCAAGTGTATTGAAGGAACCTTTGCTGAAGGAAATGCCCTTTTGTCTCAGAGTTCATTCTTGGGTATTACTCCTGATTTTGAGAACTGGTTAGCAATAGATTCAACAAACTTTTTAGCCCTGTATACAACTGGTATTTTACAGTCCTTTGCAGCAAGTGCAAAGGTTAGAAAAAGTTTTGAAATAATTAGTCACATAGTCCAATTTGAAATTTATTTATTTGTATTTATTTATTTCTGTGAGCCGTCCCAAGGCTATATAGCAAGGGGACATATAAAAGCATATAAAAACTTTAAATAATAAATAAATTGCTTAAGATGGTCCATGACCATATTGAGAATACAAGATATACATATAGCCACAGATATATACACGTGGACCATATATAATCAATCAATTCTTTAACATATCTAAGAATGTTAAATGGGCTCTCAAGAGCAACCAGAAAACCCTTAGGAATCATTTCAGTAACTATGGAGATGTTTGCTAAACAATAAGAGGCATAACAAATTTGTCTCTACCAGGTAATTCAGCTAATAAAAGTATCATCAGTTCTCATATTGGAGCTTCTGTAAAGATTAGTAGGACAGAAGTATTACAGTTTTTAAACTGAAAACTGAATTTAGCTAAGGATATTAAACTTGGTTCAAAGTGAGAAACAGCTTTTGCCTTTTCCTTGCCTAGAAAAAAAAGTTCAAATGAAGAAATAACTCTTACCATTTTTATATAGTGTAGAATCTTCATGCAGTTACTTTTATAGAAATCATACTAAATTATAGAACAGTAGCAAGTTTCCTTACATTTATTTTGACTGTCTACAAAGTACAGATGCTCAAATCATATATTATGTTTAAGCCAGTTTCCAGCCACATACCAGGACTTGTTCTAACAAAAGTTCCTGAATCTTTTATAGGCCTTGCCTCCAAAACAGGAACTACATTATAATCTTAGCAAGAAACACTTATAAAGACCTATGCACTAATCAGCCATGCTTTGCAAAACAATCTTTGAAGAGTTGCTAAACTGTTGTAAATCGGCAGGAGTGCAGAAAATCTGTGAAGCCACCACCATTTTAAAGGATGATTAAAATTATTACTGTTGATGTCCCTGCTAGCCAGGTGACTTATAGACCCCTAAACCATATGCCAATAAGGTTCAGCAAGGCAGAGATTCATTTGGTTCCTTTATTCAGCTGAGAAGAGCAACCAGGTGTCAGCTTCCCAGTACACAGGCAGGAAGCAACACCACAACACATTCCATCAACTCATCCTTCTTACAGCTTCTTTCTTTCTTACTGTTTCTCACACAATCTCACCCCCATTGTTCCCTCATCCAGTCACCTCCCAGGGTCTGCCTGACCCTTTGCCCAGTCCCCTTACGGGGTCTGCATGTCCACTGCATGCCTGTCCTCGTGGAAGAGGCTCTCTCCATCCAATCCCTTCACAGACGGAGTGTGATCACAGCGTGCCAGGCCTTGCGTAGGGAGTCGTCTTCACACTACCCCTTTGTCTTGGGGGTCCTCCTCTTCACACTACCCTTATCTTACCTTATCAACATTCTTTTGCCTCCCCTTTTTCTTCTCCAAAGCAAGCAGTTATACAGAAAGCAAATGGCGTTAACTGAGCTAACCAAGCTTTCAAGCAAGCAGCTTTTTACAAAAGCAAATAGCATTAGTTAAGCTAGAATTAAATAACATTAGTTAAGCTAATCAGGCTCCTTCAATTACCATGATGATTGCAATAAAATTATTACCATGATATAAGTTTATACTAAACTTATCCGTATGGATTCCTGTTGAGATCCCAGTTGTATAATTTCCTCTATTTTGAAAAGTCTATGATCTTAGTTTGGAGTAATTAATAACCAGATGACTCACAAATATGAGCAAAAAGCCTTCTTGATACGTTATGATCCCAGTCTTGAATGTGCCAGTAAAACTGAGCCATCCACACACAGCAGCAGTTGAAACCTTGCTTTGGCTAGTTTGGAGCATGAAAATCAACTGATTTTAGAAAAGGAGCTAAGTTATTATACAGATTGAATGAAGTGGGAGCTAATGCATTTGCCTCCCTGCATGAATTGGCAAACCAGCAAGCATATAGCCTGGAACAGCTGGTGCATCTATTGGAATAACAAGGGCCACAGCAGATGGACTTCAGTGTCTTCAGCAATGACTTGTAATTTTGCATGCACAGGGGAACCAACCATAC